TTTCGGTGGCACTTTAAAAAGAGAAGTATAACTACGTAGTTCTCTCAGATTTTTCAATTCTGTTAAAAAAGCAGGCAACGAGGTACATACTATTGAATATGCAAAGTCGTGTTTCTGATTTTAGTATTTGAGTTTGATGGTTGGAAATGTGACTCAACTTTGTCTTTGGCCTGCTGGTGACCAGAAGTATAATCATTAATAATGAGTCTGCTACGTCCTTAAAGAGTTAAAACTTAAAACTTCTCTTTGGCGGTTTCATTTTACAACAACAACAACAACCAGCAACAAACAAACAAACAAACAAAAACAAAACAAAACAAAAAACAAAATTCCAACCGCTACTGATTTTAGTCACTCTTTTTAGATAAATGTTGTTGCTAAGCCGCTAACACAGAGATATAACGCTATCATCCCATAGATATCTCTATTTGTTTGGTACGCATTTTTCTTGGCAGGTAAAATTTGATTTCCACTCTTTCTGGTGAAAGAATTCTAAGATAAATGTCTAGCTACTCAAAATGATATATCAATGAAGAAAGATCTTTTTCAGTTACAGTGATGAGTATTGCTTCAGTTATTGTAGGCAAATAAACATCTTTTAGTGTGTATATTAAGTTGGGAGGGGGGTGAAGGAGGCGCTCGTGGTGCTCATTCGTCAAAACTGGCGAATAAACACATCACAACTATCTACAAATACAATGTCTGATACGGTTCCAGTAAAGAGGACTAGCTAACGCTTTCATCTTTACTTAGATTTTCATGGGGGAGCCTACAAAAATAGATACTGCTTGAATAGATACTTGATATCATATACTAACGGGGCTTACTCCAAAGTTTGTGAACCAAAAGTTTCGGAAACTGTTGTTGTTTTTAAAAATCTGACAACGCTTAAACAAAAATTTTCACCCTGAACGCAGCCCTGACCCTAACTTTTCAAACTAAAAATTGCAGCACTGTTGGGTCCTGTCACAACTCCATTGTGCAAGCTAGGATTGACTCAAGAAAAAAAATCCGGTATCGTGAAGTTACATCTAAAATTTCATGATTATTCGCTTTCTTACAACAACAAAGTTCTATTTGACATTTTTGGTAGAGCTGGGCGAAGAGTCGATTCCGGAACCGATCCCCAAGATGAATGCTAAGGAAGAAAAGTTCCGACTCCTTTTTACGAAAACCAACGGTTACCAGAATCTTTTCTTTTAAGAATTTCTTTTAAACAGGTAACCACCGGAAGAAATCACATCATTAGAAAGTAAGTAATTGTGTTCGGAGTCGATTCCTACGATTCCTAGCTTTCAATAATCGGGAACGTAGCAGCCGCCCAGCACTAATTTTTGGCCGTTTTGGGTTTCTAAGACCTCGAAGTCAGAAACCAAACGTTCTATCTACTCTATTAAAATCGTTAGATTATTCGGAGGGATCATCAATTTTTTTTTTAATTCACGGAACTGCATTCGAAAAAGCTTTAAATGTTGTGAAACTCAAAATGTTTTACGTCAAATTTCTCAAAACTAGGTACTGAGCAGATGGAACTTTGTATTTCTAGGGTAGCGTATTGGCTCCTCCCTAGACGGTCATATAATCAGGCCACCTGCGCGCTACTGACCTAGATTCCTTGTGGGCTTACACACCCGTGTAGTAAGCCCACAACCTTGT